TGACACGACGCGTGTCGACCATATGGAATTCAACTTCAGCGTTCCAGTCGCTTTCTCCTCATCTCGTCTCGTGTTTCTCACCCCCTTTTTTTTTTTTTAATTTCGGAAGCAGTTCTCTTAGCAACCAAAAAAACGCACGCTTAATTACAGCCCCAGCGACAGACGCAAGGAGCAACAGAACCTTGCCCCTGGGATGTTCCATTTAGCTTCCGAGGACCTTTCTCCTTGTGCAGAAATAACTCTCTGTCCCACCTGCCGCAGCGCGAGCACCCGCCTCCCTGCGTTGGCTCTGCAGATGTGCCTCTCTCCTGCAGTGTGTCCAAGGGTGGTCTTTCCGTGCCTCGCCTTCCGTTGGGTGGAAACGACTCGGAAGGGAAGGGCTCATTTTTATCAGCTGCCTGGGGAATCAGTGCCAGCCTTGCCTGGCTCTTGGTCTAATTGTTTTCTTATCTCCTGCTTTAAAAAAAAAAAAAAAAAGTGGGCGGGGTCGACTCCTGTTTTTTGCAGGGTAATTACCACGTGGGGGAGGGCAGAGAAGTAACCGGTACTGTCTCTGATTCTTTCCAGCAGAAATATGGGTCGTGTTCAGAAATGCCAGCACGCTGGCCGCGTCTGCCTGGGTGACATGGGGCTGGTGCGAGGCTTGTCTGGTACTTCGGTGTTTGTTCCCTTTAACTTTCCTGCCACATCTGCTCGCTGACAAACAAACTTGGCTTTTTCTTCTGAAAATTTTTTTTTAAAAAAAAATAGAAAAGCACAGCGGGTTATATTTAGCCACAGGCGATGGAGCGCACGGCAGCAGCCCGACTTTCCTTGGATAAGTGGGGCTCGAGCTCACAAATGCCTCCCGGCGTCTCCCGGCCGCCGGCTTGAGGACGCCTGTCCCCGCTAGCCCTCCAGGCTGCCTCTTCCTCGATGCCCTGAGCACAAAAGCGGAGTGGCTCGGCTCACATGACGAGCACCGCGAGAGGTAGCCGGCTCTGAGCAGCCCCAGTCTACGCACAGTTGGTTCCCAGCTGACAGACAGAATATGGGGTGGGCTTTGTCACCAGCGCGCTGGGTCTGGCGTGCCCAGCTATGCTCGGAAGTGCTCCGAGCCCAGACGCCCGCCACCTCTCCCCGGGTCCCAGCCGCTCTCGCACCGAGGGGCCGGGCCGCGCGCCTTTCCTTCCTCCCGTCCGAGAAGGTTATATAATGAGCGGACCGCTGCCAAAGTCAGAGGGAAAATGAAGTCTTTGTTAAATGCCTTCACCAAGAAGGAAGGTAAGGAAGCAGCCGAAGGGAGCCGGGGCGCGGGAATGAGCCGTTTCTCACTGATGCTCGGGGGCAGAGGGGGACGCCGGGTGCCTCCTCAAATTACTGGTTGTTAATCCATGTCATGCAAGGGAATAATTACTTCTGGTTCATGATACGGTTTTGTTGGAGTTGGTCTGGAATATTAACACGGTTGAATGTGCCGTTTTATCGTATGAGGCTTTCAAGCCTCCTGCGCCCTGTGGAATTGCATTCCAGGATGCCCGTCCGTGGCGACCGGGCCACAGAGCTCGTTAGGAACTGAGTCCTAGGAGGAATAAAGGAAGTTTCGACTCGAGCCTGCTGGTTACCGGAGAGCTGCCAGGCACTTGCTGGGGGAGGTCGGGCACATGGCCGGCTGTACCGAATGGGTGGACGCCTCCCGGACCACGCTCGGCTCTGCTTGGCCGCCCCTGGGTTGCCGTTTCAGGGAGTGGATAGAAAAGGCAGCGTGGCAGACTTTAAAAGTGCATACGCTTTTTGTCATACCTTGTGTGATTTTTATTGTGGGGAAAAAAAATATATAAACACATGTTCAGACAGCTAAGAAAATATCCACCCACTTAAGAGTTTGCAGATTGCCTAAAAGAAGGAAACAGTTGGGTGGAATATTAATCATTTTCAGATAGGAAAAGAGTTATTTTTAACCCTTTTCACAAAAATCATCCTTTCCACGGATGGTTCCAGTTAGATCAGTTTTGTCAGAGAGCTCTTGTTTTATGAAACCAAGAAGATCGATGAAGATGTCACTTTAAAGAAATTAGGAAGGTATTTCCTAGCCCAAGCTCGTCGTAAAATAAACACTGAAGAAATTTCAGTGCTCCAGAAACTGATTTAATATGAATCTTAGTAATTAAGCAAGGTAATTTTCATTAAAATGTTCACCCTAACGTCACCTGTGTGACTCCATCTGAGTGAGTGGCTTGCTGCTCAGGGTAAAGTGTCTTTGAAAATGCCCCAGTTCTCGTATCCTGTAATCATTTGAGGGTCTCCCTCACCGCGTGAATTCTTCTCCCTCTCGAAGTCCCTGCTCTTCAGACTGATTCTTTGGAATTTATATATATTTTTAAAAAGCCAGTTTTTGATCTGTGCCTATTTTCTGACATTATTCACCAAAACTTACCTTCTGGGACTTCAATTTTTATCAACCATGAACAGCATGAAAATTTCACCTGGGGCTTATGGTATTAGGTTAATTCTGCGTCTGTTCTGTTATTTCATAGACTCTTCTTTGCTAAAGTGTTTATCTTGGCAAGGAGGCAGGGCTCTCCCCAGGCTTTGCTGTCAAGGGTGTTAATACCTTCCCCAGGTATGTGGGTCAGAGAAAGAAATGGGCTGCATTGTCAGGGGACAGGGCAGCTCGGTATGAGGCAGTGTCTGTCAGTCGTGGGAGGCAGCGTTTCCTTGACCAGGAGCCACGTGGGGTCCCTTCCATGTGGTCGGGGAGAGCCCTGGCCTCGTCCCGGTGCTCTGGGAGGCTGAGGGGGCTCTGGGGCTGCCCTTGCTTGCTGTTTCTGCTTGAGGTTCTGACTGTCACACTGATACAGCCCTCCAGCCCGTGGTCTCTGTACGTGACAGATAGTTGCTCTCTGAGACTGTGGGCTCGCCAGCCCTTTGCAAGGTCTTTTAAGCCACCGCACCCCACCCCCACCATGGCAGGCAGTTCCCGGATCACCCAGAAGCTCTCGCAGCCGACTGTGTTTTCAAAGCCTCAATGGTGAACGCTCAATCATTGCACAAGTTTTTTTTAGCCTCTGCCCTCTCAGAGGGAGGGATACTGATGTGGCTTTCCCTCATGAGCAGCAGAACACAAACTCAGGGACCGTCCCCAGGAGGAGGTCTTTCTCAGGGGTGACAGCAGTGGGCCTGGCCAAGCTCCTCAAGAGGGCAGCCTCTGGCCCTGAGATAGAGGTGTCCAGGGAGGAGGCTGCCAGCCTTTCCCTTCCTGTCGGTGTCCAGGGATTCCTTTGCTTGGAGAAGCTGAGAGAGGATGAAAGTCCTGGCTGAAGAGCCCAGGTGGCTTGGCGGTGTGTCCTCCCAGACAGAAGGCTTCAAAGGAAGCAGATGAGAGTGCAGTGTACTGCAGCCTAACTGGGGAGGCTGTGACCTCCCTGATGTGTCACTTCCAAATTCTCACCAGCTGTACTGAAGCCCAACTATGTGAGCCAAACGTGTGTCCCCAGGGAGCCTCGTGCCTTTCTGTGCGGCTTCCCAGGCTTGGCTGCCGGCTCTGTTCTCCCGGGCTGCCCTCACTTGGGGCGGGTGGGGAAGGTGCTCTAGGTCATAGCTGTCTCCCATGAGCTCTGCCAGCACCACCTCTGGCCCCATGAGCTCTGCTAGTACCACTTGTGTCCTAAATTACTTGTGACATTCTTCTCCTTTGAGGCATTAAGGTCTCTTCCCCGGGTTCACTGCCCCTGGGAGGACATGGCTTTCACTTGCCTTGCAGCTTCCTGTTGACCAAAGGGCAGCCCTGGCCATGGGCAGCGTGAACTTTAGAGCCAGTGTAGCTTCTGCCCCCAGGGTGTAAATTCCGTGGCCAACGGGAAAAGCTGCCTTGGGCATCGAAGAGCTGGGAAGAGCCTGGCATTTCGGGCGGTCAGTGGCCTCTGCCATTGCCCTGTGGCTCGGAGGGCCACGTTTCTGGAGATGCTCTGTCTTGGAAAGGACGGCTGCTGTTTGGGGCTCCAGCCCTCTGAGCAGCCCAGGCTGCTGCGGAGTGGCTGCCACCCCTCAGGGCTCCTGGGGGCTGCTGCCTTCGTTCTAAGCCCCTGGGCACACTGAATCAGGACAGCAAGGGCTTTGTGCGAGCTAGAGCTCCACCGGAAGCCAGATGAGGTGCGTCCGCCTCTGCCCTCTCCCATGAGCAGGCTGATGGGATAGAGGAAGGGGCGTTCGTGGTTAGGGTTAAAGTGGACTCGTGGCGACCAGTAGATTTGGAGTCTGTTGGTTTGCTCAGGCTGCTGCGATGGAAGCACCACAGACAGGGCGGCTTAAACACCAGATATGTGTTGTCTCACGGTCCGCAGGCTGGAAGTCAGAGATCAAGGTGTCTCAGGGTTGGTCCCTTCTGAGGCCTCCTTGGCTTGCGGATGGCTGCCTTCTCCCTGTGTCCTCTGTGGTCATCCCTCTGTGTGTGTCCGTGTCCTGATCTCCTCTTCTTATAGGGACACCAATCCTATCAGATTAGGGCCCACCCTAATGACCAACTACCCTTGAATCACCTCCATAAAGACCCATCTCCAAATACGGTCGCATTCTGAGATGCGGGGAGCGGGCTTAGGACTTTGACAAATGCGGTGGGGGTGGGTGTCAAAATTCAGCCTGTCACAGAGGCCAAGTTCAGGAAGAGGAGCTCTGCCCCAGCTCAGTGTCCCGACTGCTCTGTGAGATGGGGCGGCCCCTCTTCACACCGGTCAGGGCTGGCCAGCATCTCCTGGGCTGCCCGGATGGAAGCTCAGACCCCGTGTCCCTTCCATGTGCAGCAATGGCTTGAGTCTCCCTGCAGTAGGGACGTTCTGCGTCTCCACCTGTCTCTGCTTCTGTGTCAGGGGTGAGTTCTGGCCTGGTGGGGTCCCGCTGCGGACAGGGCACAGAGCTCACAGCCCCCTCCCCTGGCTCGCATGGGGGCTTGGACGCATGCAGGCCGGTGCTGACTGCAGCTCAGAGTCACTCACCCACCTCTCTCCCTATCCTCTCCCCCACAGTGCCCTTCCGAGAGGCCCCGGCGTACTCCAACCGGAGGCGGCGGCCCCCCAACACGCTGGCCGCCCCCCGGGTCCTGCTGCGCTCCAACAGCGACAACAACCTCAATGCCAGCGTGCCCGAGTGGGCCGTCTGCCCCACAGCCGCCTCCCACCGCAGCCTCTCGCCGCAGCTGCTGCAGCCGACGCCCAGCAGGCCCGATGGTGCAGTGAAGACCATCGGGAACTACATCCCTGGGCCCCGCAGCCGGTCCCCCTCGCTCAACAGGCTGGGCGCAGGCGAGGATGGCAAGAGGCACCGACAAGTCGGGTAAGGGGCAGCTGGGCTTCCGCGGGGGCCAGGGGGAGGGGCCTCCACCTGCCACATGGGTCCCGGTTCCTCCAACCTGGGGTGTGGACAGAGGTGGAGCAGAAAGCCTGTTTTATTCCAACCTGGATGTTGAGGGAACTTTAAAGGCCGAGTTCTGCCCCCTGCGCCTGCTGGGACTGCCTCCCTGGGGGCCTGGGGGCCTCTTCCTGAGCCTCAAGCCAGGTCATGGCTCTGGGCAGCCGTGGGAGGCTGGACTGAGCTTCCTGGGGTGGTCGGGGGTGCCGCTGGTGTCTGGGTCCTTGTTTCCTTTCCTCGAGCATTGACTTCTTGGTCCCAAAAGTGAAAGGTCAGGAGGGAAGGAGGCGAGGCCGAGGGCCTGGTCTGTGCTGAGCGCTCTCCCAGGTGTCGCGTTTGCAAGCCCGCAGACACGCCATGTCCCAATTGAGCGCACGCACTAGTAACGGCGAGAATCTCTGGCGCAGATGAGAGCGCTGCGGCTCAGGCCAGCTCATGGCTGGAGACTGACTGTCTCCCTGCAGCCGCGGGACTCTCTCGGCAGTGCTATCGTTGGGGACTCTGTGTGTGCCCAGCACGGCAGCGCACGGAGGGCGTCTCAGTCAGTCTCTGAAGCAGCCCCAGGTGGCGGGAACCCCATTCCCCACCCCGCTCTGTAGACAAGGACATGGGAGGGCAGAGTAGGGGCCCTGCCCGTGGCGTCTTGGCCGGCACCCACCTCGGGCCACCGACACCAGGTCCTGGGCATCCCCCCACTCTCCTGCCCCCCAGACGGCCGGGGGCTATGTTCGCACTCAGAGCACCAACTCCCAAGCACCTCTCAGCCTTGTCATGCCGCCTTCCAGAATTTCCAGGCAAGGAGAAGGGACTTCCCAGGAGTCAACTCATTGTGAGGCCTTGGGGGCCGGGTCGGCATTGGTCTGAGCCGTGAAAGTGTCAGCAGCAGGGACGGTCTTCGTGGCTGCTGACACCGCCGGGTTCTCACGCGGGCACAGCTGTTCCGTGAGCTCACTGTGCCAGCTCCATGGGTCACACAGAACGTACCAGAGGCCGGACTCTAGGCCCCTGGTTCTGGAGTTTGCCGACGTGGTGCTCACTCAGGTGTGGGCCTGCAACCTGTGTCGTCCACACTGGCACAGCGTGTTTGGAGATGGCGGCACTCAGAGCTCAGGCGCCCGACTCCTGCCCCGTCTACCACCCCCTCATTTCCTCCCTGGCCTCTGAAGCCACCTGGGGTCCTGAGCCTGACCGCGGCGAGTCTTGCTAAGATCAGGGATGTCGGGAGGTGCATTGCCACCTCCCATGCCCCGCCGAGGCTCCATCCTGCAAGCTCGGTGTGAGTTCCAGGCAGGGCGAGTGCCTCTTGTGCTCTCAGGAGGAGCTGACTGCTGTGACGTGATGGGCAGGCCAATCTCGGGGCTGCGGCCGAGGAGGGTGTCGGGGGAACGTGCCCGCGAGAACCCAGTTCTCCCTGCCGCTTGGCGGGGTCGAGGCCTGACCCTCTCGGAGGCAGCGGAGCCCCAGCCCACATCAGCACATTAGCCTTCCAGCCCACGGACGCTTCTCACTGGAGCCTGGCGAGGCGATGCAGCCCCCGCTCTGGTCTAGATTCTCACTTGGAGTAACCCCGAGGGAGAAGTCCCAGGTGCTAAGAACAGTTGAGAGCTAAATTGAAGGATTCCCCCGAGGAAGCCAATTCCACTTCACACACTTAGCCGGCATTATGACTATAATTTTAAAAAGAGTGAGTCCCCTTCCCCCAGTACAAAATCTAATAAGATGGTGAAGGCGGCGTGACCAGGGACTTGCACCAGCTGCAAACAGGATGCTGCTGTGAAGAGAGAAAAGCAACTGGGCTTGTTGCGGGGACCCTGTCTGGGTGTCCCCAACCTCCTGTGCAGGTGTGTGGGGAGGTGCCTGTGTGTGCACACACACACGTGCTCCCGGACGGCCATGGAGCAGCCGTGTGAGCTCGGGCAAGTTGCCCGCCCTGCGTCTCATCCTGGTCAAGGCCACCTTCAGGTCGTTCTCAAGATTAAACCAACGAGCTCAGGGCGCACACCTGGCACCGGGCCCTGCCCTGGTGAGTGCTTGGTGCACCTTGGTCCCTAGAGCTCAAATCCAAGTCCAACCCAAGGCCCAAAGCTTGGCCGAGACCAACCCCTCTGTCACCCAGGACCATTGGGTAGGGTGACCAACTGTCCGGATTTGCCTGGGATGTGCGATTTTCAGTGCAAACCTTAAGATGGCTGGTCCCCTAACTGTGGGCTGCTGCCTGTCCCAAGTCAGTGAGTGCTGTCCTTGCCAGGTGGCCCTGACCTGTCCGCCTGCCTCCCTTGGCTTGGTCCCCATCTTCCTGCCTGTCCCATGTCCTGCCCCTTCGTTGGTGACAGTAGCTGCACCATGAGAAGAGCCCTTTGGGGGAGGGGGTACTGATAAGCTGGCAGGTCCCTCCCACAAGACCCGACTGTCCAACCGGGACCTGCTGGCAGCCCTGGCTTCCCCTCCAATGGGACCACATGGGAGGCATTGGCCTGCACGGTGGACAGCTGGGATGGAGAATCAGAGGCAGCCGCTCCAGGCATCTCCTGAAGGCCGCCCTGGGATGAGGGTGGGGACTGCAGTGCTCCGGTGCACAGGGCCACGTGCCCTGGGGGTGCAGATGTGTCTTTGCATAGCGAGCGGTACCAGGGAGCAGGTTCTTGAGGTGCTGAGCGTCCACTCGGGCAGCAGTTACCTGAGCACTTTCCAGGTGCCAGGTCCATGCCAGGCACATGGGCGTCGGTGGGCCAACCAGGGCACGTGGGCTGGTGCGCTGATCACACTTGGGTCTGAATGTCCTGCAGGCCGGGCACAGCGTGGGGCTCGCGCTGGAGCCGTCTGCCTCCTGGCTGCGGAGCCAGGGCCTGGCTCTTCACATCTGTGCCCAGGCGTGGAAATGGCTTTAATTCAGGCAGGGCAGCGGCTGTTCAAGCCAGCCCAGGGGATGCGGATACGACACAGGCCTTGCAGCACCACCCAGGGCCTTTGGGGGGTCCAGGAGGTGGGCAGACCCCTCTGCTCCGGTTTGTCCTCGAGGCTCTGAACCAGCCCCTCCCCCGTGGGTCTCCCTGCTCTTGCAGAAAAGCCAGCTCTTTCCTCGTTCCTGGGGCAGAGTGGCCTGGCTGGGCGCTGCTCAGGGGACACTTGTGGGGAGGGTGCCCTGGGTTGTCGTCAGGACCAGGAGGTGGGGTTGGGGCTCCTCTGTGCTTCTTCCTCCTCCTCTGGGCCCTGTCATGGGGGGGGCAGCCCCTGTCCGCCCATCCCCCAGCCTGTACCATCCTCCGGGGCTGCACCCAGCTCTGCCTACCTGACGTGTGGCTTTGGGCAAGTCACCTGACTATTCTGTGCCTCAGTTTCCTCATGTGTAAAATGGGACCAGTGATACCGCCTCCGTCCTAGGTCTGTGAGGAGGATCAAGTGGGATTTCATACCTGCCGCGTGCTGACGTCCATATCTGGTCATAAGAGCAGTCACACGTTCTGCGGACGTGTCTGCCACGTTCAGGGTTGTCATTGCTGTCATCATGGACAGTTTAGGAAGACCTCCCCCGGCCGCCTTGGGGCAGGGATTGGAGGCACGAGGTGCGCCCGTCCAGGTGGTGGACGCTGGCTCGGGCTAAGAGGCAGAAGCAGAGACAGCCAGGTCGAGGGGAAACGTCGTGTCCTGAGCAGGGCGGGCGCTGGACCAGGCCCTGTGTCCCCTCCGTGGGTTCTCTGCCCACAGGAAAGGCCACTCCACACCTGTCATGGCCAGAGCCTGTTGGCCTAAACACCAGCCTGAGGCCCAGAAACGCAGCCAGGAATGCAGTGGATGCGGCAGCGTGGCCTGAACCAACCTCAGGCCAAGCCTCAGGTGCAGCCGCGATCGGGGCTGAGGCCTCCCAGCCTACCCAGGGCCCCCTGGGCTCCTCCCTGCTGGGCTGGAGGTCTGGGCAGGGCCCACCTCCTGGATGGAGGAGCCTGCCCCAGCACGGAGCAGGAGTGGGCCGGCCCGCGGGGGCTGAGTGGGCCCCACGGAGCTCTCCTGGCCCGGCCCATCCTGGGAGCTGGCGTTTCAGCAACGTGCCCACAGGAGGGGGCCCTGAGGGGTCTTGGGGGCCAGGCTGTGTGGGCTGTGCACAGTCGGTGCCCCTGGAAGGTGAACGCTCCCTGGGCCCTCCCAGGCGAGCCGGAGCCTGTGGCAGGGCTGTCCCTCTGGGGAGAGAGAATGCCCCATACCTGTCTGAGGTCCCGTCTTCCCCTGGGTCTCTCCTGCCCACCTTTTCGTTTCTCACTGTTCTTCCATCCCTTCGCCGCCTCTGTCTCTTTCGTCCTGCTTATTTTTCACAGTTTCGTCGTTCTCCCCTGGGCTCCAGAGAGGGCAGGAACCACTGTACCTGTGCATGCTCTGGGTCCTCTCCTGGGCAGCTCCTGCTCCCCGTGGTGGGCGTGGCGCCCTCTGGTGGCGCCCGCTGACATGTCTGGGCCACATTCTTGAGAACTTTCTGGGGACACCTGAGTCCACCCACCCTGTCACCCGCCACCGGAGTCCCTGCCAGCTGCCAGGTGGCCATGGGCTCCGCCCAGGTTCAGAACGGCTCTTGACGTATTTCTTAGACGTCTCTGTAGCCAGTCCTGGAGGCTGCCCCAGCCTCACCCGCCACGAGGCAATGTCTGGCCACGCCCTCATCAGACAGACGTTTCCTGAGTGGGTTTAGCTGGGTAGAGAAGAAAGTCTCCTGCCTTGCCGCTCGCTCATAGGTGGAGATTAACGCCGGCGCTGCCCGCTGGCTGTCAGGCTGGGACGCTGCCGCCCTCCTAGTCTGGTCTGTCTCACCTGCCCACGCACACAGGGATGGGACGGGACGGCAGCCCTCACCTTGCACAGGTAAGGGCTGAGCTGGAGGGTCTGGCCATGTCTGGCAGAGCCCAGTGGGGCCTCTGGAAAGTCTGTCTTTTACCCAA